ATACATAAATCAATAAAAGTTATAGAGATGCCAGAATAGAAACTGAGACAATAATTCTGAGACGAAAAGTGTTATTATTATTATTATTACTACTACTATTACTACTACTATTATTATTATTATTTTGGACTTACTAACATTCAAATATTCTCCATAAAAAATAGCCCCCAATCCTGTATGATTTGGAAAAAATCAACATTATTTTTAATTGAGTCATGTTATCCTTTATTCTTTCATAAAGTTGTGGTTTCATTTCAGTATTATTTGAATAATGTACCATTTCAATAGGCGATCAATAATAGATTGAAAACTTTGCTTCATATACGACTAGAATATAATACGTTTTTTTGAATATGACCAAATATGTTTTATATTATTTATGGCACATAATTCTATTGAATCTACCACATACGCCCTTACTAACAAGAAGTGTTAGATAATGACTGATTATGCGAATGACTCTACGAATGTAGTCATTAGCAACAAGTATTGAATACTGACTGATTATTTCAATGACTATTCAAATTTTCTAATAATGATGTCTTATTCTACTTGAATTGTGAAATACGTCATTTTTCTCATCAAAGGCATATTATTTTAGAAGTTTTTATTGTCAAATGTTACGTTAGAGTAGATAGGACTAGTCTTATTTCAGGAAAAGTGATATATATGTTGAAGTCCTATTTGCATAAATTACCCAAATAGATTTTGGTAGCATCCCAAATCTTAACTATTGTTATTTGTAGCTCTTGGAATAGGTAGGTGTTGGAAATTTTAAGTAAATTGGACATTTTTCGACATAAATTCGGTAGGGTTCACAAAATTATTTTTCGAAATAATTATGAACGTTCAATCTCGTAAGTAAGACGAACGTCTTGACATACGACACGCCATAAACGGTACTCGGGTGAATGAGAAATTAATTATCAAAGTTGAATACGAGGGTAGAGTAAATACCCTTGTCCCACACCAGTTTTTGAACCTTTCATATTCTCATATTTAAGCTTAGGCTTTTAATTGAGATTATGAAAGGAACAAGAAGATGACTCCTCACGCGCCGCCGCCGCCGCCCGTCCGGCTCGGCACGCGCGCGTCGGGGCGGTGCGGGGCTAAATTTTATGAGACCGAATTAAAACGAAGTGCTGTTGTAATGAGCATGCATGTACTTGAGACCGAGGAGACACTCATCTCTTCGAATAAACACTTCCGACGAATCCCCTCAAATTTTTAGAATTAATAGTTTTCGACATTCATCGAAGGGAGCATGCTCCCTCCCTCCACAAAATTTCTCATGTTTGACTTTTCTAGTCAACGTTTTAAAACTTTGAGCGAATACCAATAGATTCATTTTAATACCAATAGATTCATTTTGAACCACATGTTTAAAAAATTATTTTTATAATAATTATCTCGTGGATTACGAGGGCTAAAATTTAGAGAGAGAACTTATAAGGAGGATGAGATTTCGAAAGTAACTTCTAATTGTTATAGTGGGCATACCTCTACCCTCACTAAGAGCATCTTCATTCCTTAATTAAAAATTCATCCATCTAATAGTTATCTTTCATCTACATCATCTCCACATCATTCATCTTTAGATACTTTATTTTTTAAACAAACATTCACAACCCATCTCATCCATCCATTAATTCATTCACTTATTTATGGCTCTCACCTTTATTTTACTTAATTCATTAATTTTAAATAATCATACTCTATTTTATAATAAAAAATAATATTAATTTTTTATTATATATCATAATAGAAGAATAAAAAATTACAAAAATATTAAAATCACTGAATATTTTAGTAAATAGTGATTATATTAATTCTAATAAGTATACTATTGATTAAATTAAAATCAGTGAATATTTTAATTTTATTAATTATTTATTATAATATATATTATTATAAATTTAAGTATGAAATCAAAGCAATGTTGGATGTGCATTTCAAACATAAAATCAAATTTTACGTTTTTTAATGTTAACGCCTTTATTAAATTTTCTTGTTCAAAAGAAAAAAAAGATATACTTTTTTTATAATTTAAGGTGGGGTCATCATACAGCATATTTGCAGCCCTACTTTATTCTATTTTATTTTTTATTTTAAACAAAAATATTATTTAAGATATTAAATTAAATACTTAATTTAAAAATTATATGAATTTATATTTAGAAGAATAAATTGGATAAGAAAATTATAAGAATATTTAAATTAAAAAAATATTTAAATATTTAAATATTTTGAAATTGAATATTATAAGAATATTATAAATTAAAAAAATATTTAAATATTTAAATATTTCAATATCTAAATGAAGTAAAATATTTAAATATTTTGAAATTGAATATTATAAATTCAATATCTTAAATACATATAAAAATATCTTTTAAATATTTCATACTTTGTATTATATTATAAAATGATATTAATATTTTTCATAACATAATTTATGAATAAAAAATTAAAAAATAATAATAAATTAATTATCTAGAATATATATGAATATATACTTAGAAGAATCAAATTAGAGTAGAAAGTTACAACAATTTAATTTAAATTAATATAAATATAATAACACCAAAATTTATAAAGAAAACTTATCTTTCAAAGATAGAAAAAAAACGAATAATTAAACAATAAGAAATAATTGATAAATAAAATAATTTAGTGATTACATTAATTAACTATTTACTATAATATAATTGATAAATACGGAGTAAAAATTATTTAGTGGGTGGGGCCATAAGTGTACATGGATGGTGTTTAAATCTTTAAATGACTTATCATCTCTCACCATCCATTTGATCACTCACAATAGTTTAAAGAGAAATTTACCTGAATAGGACTAAAACATAATGACTTTTCCAATATAGGACCATATGTTTTTATTTCCCAATGTAGGATCTTTGGTCATTATCAAGTAGTCATTATTCAAGTAAATGTCCATCATTACTGGACATTATTCCTCCCACTAGGTCATTATTAAGTTCTATTTAGGGAATAAAAAAGTTTAAGTCCTAGATTAGGAAAGTCATTATGTTTTAGTCCTATTTAATGCAAATTTCTCTAGTTTAAATGGACTAATTAATGGAGATGCTCTAACCGGGGTATATAAATCAAGATAAAATGAGAAAGTATTGTGTAAAATGATTTCACAAGATAAGAGATTGTGCCTCGTAAATCTTAATTTGTAAACAAACTTGGGACGGAGGGTGTATAGTACGAGAAACTATAAAACATCAAACCAGGGGGCATTAAACACCGCCCCCTCCCTTGCTATTCCGGCGCCATCCTCCCTGCATCAAATTTTTGACGCGCGTTGGACTCGAATTTTCGCCGTTTTCGGTCATTGGAACCCCATCCCCATAACGGCTATAATGTCATTGGGTTTTAAAAAAAGTCTTCTCCTCCCTCTATAAATTCAATATATTTTTTTTAAAATTCAACACATACCACAAATATAAATATCTCTCTCCTCTTTTTTAAAAAAATGATTCAAGTATTTTTTTTATTTTTAACATGTATGCTTTCGATTTTAACGTTCCTTCGTCCGGTCTCGAGCCAAAGAAGGAAGCAATGTGGATTTTCTAATCATACGCCGGTAATCTGTCGATGTACAATACGTAAACCTCGGTGAATCTCCAAGACCCGAAGTCGGTTTCGAAGACTCAACTAGAACCAAGTGCACCAAAAAATAGTACACGCTGGAAGAGTCACAAACCAAAGGGCGACAAGCTGATGACCGATGCGGCACGGTCCATTCAAAAGTGGACACCAGAGGAGGAATCATTGTTGGCGTCCGCTTAGATTGATGTCTCTGAGCATCCTATCGTTGGTAAAATTTATATATTTTTTAATATATATTATATAAATGTTCCTTTTTATATATTTGTATTAAGAAAAAATTTGTTCAATTATATATTTCTTAAAGGCTCCGAACAAATGAAGGATGCAATGTGAGATCGTATCGAGGAGAAGTTCTTTGCGGCGATGAACAAAGACATCTCCTACCAAACCCGAGACCAACTCGTTTCCAAATGGGCCACATCAACCGTAAAGTTCGAAAGTTTGTCGGAGTTTACGATCGAGGAATGCTCTTGGTCCCGGTAGAGCGGTATCAAGACAACAAACACTAAAACAAGGTCCCCGTCGATCTTTGAGAATTCTAAGCCGTTCACCGAAATGGCAACAACTCAACAACCCCGAGGCCGGATCGTCAAAGAAAAGATCCTCCGCTGAGGTTGAGGTCGATGAGACTATTGGCTCTTCGGAACAAATGCCTCCCTTCAACCTAGAAGACTCCGACGATGATGACCATATTCCATGGCCGATCGGAAGGAAGAATGCAAAATCCATTGCCTCAGGTTTTCGAGGGTCTGGCTCTATTTTTTCTCGTGGCGATATCGGCCGGGCAATGGTTGAACAACTTCTTCTGTTCAATATTAGGGAAGAAGAGGGAGAAACAAATGCAAGATAAAGAAGAAGTCAAAATAATGAAAACAGATCTTGATACTTCAAACGTATGCTTTTTTGAGAGAAGATAAAAAGAGATCAATGCCAAATATATTTTGCCATAATTTTTTATTAATGTATTTTTTTATGAAATATTCTTTTTTATTGAATGCACTTTTTAAATTCAATGAATCATTGTTATTTAAATTTAATTAAAATAAAATTTTATTTAATTTAATTTTAAAAAATGTATATAAAAATGTAAAAAAATAAAAGTTTGAAATTGGGAGCTTCAAATCCCATTCTAGAGACAAATAAAGAAGTTTTGAAGGCCTACCCGTGTTCTAAGGTTTCTAGATGAAAGGAATTTTTTTTTTTGAGTAATAAAAAGCATTTATAATTAATGAAAAAAAATGTTGAAAGTAGAGACGAAGTTGTTTGACCAATACAACAAAAAAGTTTCACACTGCTTTGCCACTTCGACCGTCATGCCACATTTGACCTCTCCATAGTCCACTTTGCCGTTATTATATAAACTGGCCCCCCCTCCCAACCTCCATCTCCAATCCCACACAAACAGCTCTACGCGGCTCTCTTCCTATAAAAAAATATCCGATTCATAGAGAAGAGAATCATCGGCCGGATAATTCAGACAAGTGTGGAGCTGCAATTGGGGGGCTTCGCCGGAGTAGGTTTTGGAGAGCAGGTCAGTGAGGCGGCGCGTTAGCGCGTAGCGGCGGAGGATGGAGCCGGTGAATATAGGCGTGATAAGAGGAGGGAGCATAAGAGGGAGCCTGAGAGGGAGCTTGAGAGGGAGTTCCAGAGCCAACAGCAATTCGATATGGAGGAACACCGGCGTGGAGGTGTTTTCCCGGTCCTCGAGAGACGAGGACGACGAGGAGGCTCTGAAATGGGCGGCGCTGGAGAAGCTGCCGACGTTCGATCGGTTGAGAAAGGGGCTCCTGTTCGGATCTGACGGGCCGGCGGCCGAGGTCGACATCGACAATCTCGGAGTCGAAGAGAGGAAGGCTCTGCTCGAGAGGCTCGTGAATGTCGCCGATGAGGACAACGAGAAGTTTCTGATGAAGCTCCGGAACAGAATCGACAGGTTTTGCTCTGAATATTAGGTTTAATTTTCTCTGCTCTTAATCAATTAATTCATCAATTTCATAATCGAATTATTTCACACAGAGTTGGAATTGATCTTCCGAGCATTGAAGTGAGATATGAGCATCTGAACGTGGAGGCAATTGCTTATGCCGGCAGTAGAGCTCTTCCTTCCTTCATCAACTTCACTACCAATTTCATCGAGGTTCGTTAAGCTCTGTGGCCTCTTCAAATTCTCTGATTTACTACTTTCCAGATCTGGCTTTTCAGATTTGGTTTTTCCTCAAATGTGTTAAGCTTTGACTTAAGCTTATAGTATACGCAGTATATTCTAATCAATGTTTTATGTAAATTTACTTACTCCAATTTGCCTTATCAATTGTCTCGTCCCCTTTTAAAGGATTTACTGAACGCCCTTCACATCACCAAGAGCAAAAAGAGGAAAATCACCATCCTGGATGACGTCAGCGGAATCATCAAGCCGAGCAGGATGACGCTTCTGTTGGGGCCTCCGGGGTCTGGGAAGACGACGCTTCTGCTTGCCTTGGCCGGAAAGCTGGACAAGGATTTGAAGGTGGGAGGAAAGGTGACTTATAACGGGCACGAACTGAACGAGTTCGTGCCCCAACGAACCGCGGCTTACATAAGTCAACACGATTTGCACATAGGAGAAATGACCGTCCGGGAGACCCTGGAATTCTCTGCCAGATGCCAGGGCGTTGGGTCTCGATATGGTTCGTGATTCCTGCAGTAATTTGTAAGAAATGTTTTTTTATTTTTTGTCTGGGAGTCTAGTTTCATTTGGTAGAATGTTTTTGAAAATTATTTGCAGAAATGTTGGCGGAATTGTCAAGAAGAGAGAAGGCAGCAAATATCAAGCCGGATCCGGACATTGACGTATACATGAAGGTATAAAGTTTTATTGGTCTTATTTACTGTTGTATCATATATGAATGTGTGTGCATGAAAATCTTTAAGTACTTCGTTCCTTTTTTTGGTCTTAAAATTACCTTTCATTTCATTTTAAAGTGAAAAACATGATTCATATTATTTCTTTTTTCTAAATTAACTATAACTCCACAATTCATATTTTCTTGATATTCCTACGAGGTCAACGGTCAAAGTGAGGTTTTAAAAATTCAAAAGGATACAATTTCAATGGTTTCTTGAATGAAAAAAATCAATGGCTATTAGGGGATATATGCGCCTCTTCTGCTCATCTTAATACAATAAAGAGTTTAATAAAAATGGTACTTACACTCCAAATTTTTATATTAGTACTCCAACATATACTTTTACTGAATATTGTATTTTGGAGTGCCAATATTACAAAGAGGAGTGTAAATATATTTTCTTAATACTAGGTAAAAGTGTGTAAAGTGTGAAACCAAACCACAATAAAATTGGAGTATGAAGAAATAATTGAGGAAGGTCTGGTGTTAAGGCACGGGGTCATATTAAGCTTTGAAATGTCAGCATGGACTTTTTTATTCTCGCATGAGTGTAAACAAGGAGAAGAAGATAAGATTTTAGCGGCCGATACAGCAGAGTCAATAATTGCGATTACGACAGGACTTTTTTTAACGACGAGTCGACAGGACCTAATACTGAGTACAATAATACTCCGTATTTTTTTTTACAAAATAAAAATCATTAAAACGACCTAAATAAATGTTGATTGAGAAATATAAACTGCCTTGTTTTTTTTCATTATCAAATGTATTTATATTGTCTTTTTCCACCAACAATTTGTGAGCTACGACAAAAGGTGACAAGGTAGCACCAAAGTCTGAATCACACGCCCCAGGGCCCCATATCCCAGCCCTCTACTACTACTGTAGTCTGTAGATGTAATCTTATGACTCCTATCCAACATACTTCGCACAGAAAAACATTTCTGTTTTTGGAAACTGAAGTGTAAATAGTTTGAAGGCATAATTGGATAAGATTAGGATCTGATCAATGAAAATCCAGTTGTGAATTCACCCTATTTTTAGAATAAATGAAATTACTCCGACAACATTTGAAGTAGAGTTCATTCAACTGATTTATCAAAACACACATTATAATTCTACTTACTGGCTGTTTAAAAAATGGGTTCTTTTTACAGGCTGCAGCTACAGAAGGACAAGAAGCCAATGTTGTCACTGATTACGTTCTTAAGGTAACTTTTGGTCATCAAACAATAAAATTTAACTGTATACACAATCTAAAAGAAACAAGTGCAGGAAAGAATTTGAGATTAATGAATCTCTGTTGTGCAGATTTTGGGACTGGAAGTATGTGCAGACACAATGGTTGGCGACCAAATGATACGAGGTATATCTGGTGGGCAGAAAAAGCGCGTGACCACTGGCGAAATGATGGTCGGACCAGCAAAAGCTCTTTTTATGGACGAAATCTCCACAGGACTTGACAGTTCTACAACCTATTCAATCGTCAACTCGCTGAGGCAGAACGTGCACATTCTCAAGGGCACTGCTGTTATTTCTCTGCTCCAACCAGCACCAGAGACCTATAATCTCTTTGATGATATCATTCTGTTGTCGGATGGGTATGTCATTTACCACGGGCCTCGTGAAGAAATCCTGGATTTCTTTGAGTCCATGGGGTTCAGATGCCCAGAGAGAAAAGGGGCAGCTGATTTCTTGCAAGAAGTATGAACTTATTTCGCATTACCATTTTCCAAGAATATTAATATTGTTCTCTTCTGCATTGTACATTTGTGGTAAATAAACTGGGTGTGTGACAGGTGACGTCCAAGAAAGATCAACAACAATATTGGATCCACAGGGATAAGCCTTATAGGTATATCAAGGCAAAGGAATTTGCCGAGTCATATCAATCCTACCATGTTGGGAGGAAGATGACTCATGAACTTTCAGAGCCATTTGATAAAACCAAAAGCCATCCAGCAGCCTTATCAAATGACAAATATGGTATAGGAAAGAAGCAACTCTTGAAGGTTTGCACCAATAGAGAGTATCTGCTAATGCACAGAAACTCTTTTGCTTACGTCTTCAAATTCTTTCAGGTGAGTCATTGATTATATTTTGGAGTATTAATTTAAAATGATTTTTGGTTTCATATTGTGAAAGTATCTGATGTGGCATTGTTCGTTCACAAATTGTGTTCAGCTTTTGGTGATGGCATTGATCTCCATGACACTGTTTTTCCGAACTGAAATGAATAAAGATAATGAAACGGGCGGAGGGATTTACGTAGGTGCCCTGTTTTTTGGTGTGGTTATGGTTATGTTCAATGGTATGTCTGAGCTTCCAATGACTATCTACAAGCTGCCGGTGTTCTACAAGCAAAGAGACCTCCGTTTCTTCCCACCTTGGGCTTATGCTATTCCTTCTTGGATCCTCAAAGTGCCTGTTACGTTTGTCGAAGTCAGCATCTGGGTTTTTGTTACTTACTATGTCATTGGTTTTGATCCAAATGTTGGCAGGTGAGCATAATGTCTATTCTTTATCCTAATATGTATCACAATATTATCTCTTACTTGATTACAGATCAATAAGTGACTTTTTTTCACCACCCCCTCTTTACTTTTTATTTTCTGTTTCAGGTTGTTCAAACAGTTCCTGTTAATGGTAATGGTGAACCAGATGGCTTCTGCATTGTTCCGATTGATTGCAGCTATGGGTAGGACAATGGGAGTTGCAAACACATTTGGATCTTTTGCTTTGCTTTTGTTGTTTGCTTTGGGTGGCTTTGTGCTCTCTCGAGGTTTGTGTTAACAAGAGTCATATATTAGCATATTATGCAAGCATTTTATGATATGTCTGATTTGTTATATTACACAAGCCTTGCTTGAATTGTCTGATATGAAAACATCGTTTTGCATTCTGATTCTGCAGATGATGTGAAGGATTGGTGGATTTGGGGCTACTGGTGTTCACCCATGATGTATGCCATGAATGCAATTCTTGTTAATGAATTTAAAGGGAAGAGCTGGAGACATGTAAGCACATATGTCTCAGTGTGGCTTGCAATTTTCCAAACACACACACTCACATTCGAATCACACTGATTTTTTTGTTATTTCAATAGATTGCTCCAAATGGTACTGAACCACTTGGAGATGCAGTTGTGAGATCAAGAGGATTCTTCCCAGAAGCTAAATGGTATTGGATAGGTCTCGGGGCACTTTTCGGGTTTATAGTAGCCTTCAATGTCTGCTATGCACTAGCTCTCCAATTTCTTAATCGTGAGTATTTGTCATTTAATAATGGTACTTAAGGACCCCCCACCCCCAACCCACCACCACACAATCATGTTCTAGATTGTAACCTCTCTCTCGTTATGCAGCATTTGGCAAACCCCAAGCTCTTATATCAGATGATGACGACAACGAAACTTCTGCCCAGAACACCTCTCAACAACCATCACAAGTTGGAGGAAATAACATCAGTGAGACACAGAAGCGGGGAATGGTTCTTCCATTTGAGCCCCATTCCCTCACATTTGACAATGTGGTGTACTCTGTTGACATGCCTCAGGAAATGAAAGATCAGGGTGCCAATGAGGATAGATTGGTGCTGTTAAAGGGTGTAAGCGGAGCCTTCAGGCCTGGTGTTCTCACTGCTTTGATGGGTGTGAGCGGGGCCGGGAAAACAACCCTTATGGATGTCTTGGCTGGAAGAAAAACTGGTGGATACATTGATGGAGATATCAAAATTTCAGGATATCCAAAGAAACAAGAAACCTTTGCCCGAATTTCAGGTTACTGTGAACAGAATGATATCCATTCTCCCTTTGTCACTGTTTATGAGTCCTTGGTTTACTCCGCATGGCTACGCCTTCCGGAGGATGTTGATGCAAATGCTAGAAAGGTTAGTACCTTTTTTTGGAGCACTTAATCATAAGGTATAATAATTCTTAATCTCAGATCATTTACATTTGTGTATTTTAATTGCAGATGTTTGTTGATGAGGTGATGGAACTAGTAGAGCTGAATCCATTGAGATCAGCTCTTGTTGGGCTGCCAGGAGTTAACGGTCTCTCAACTGAGCAACGTAAAAGGTTAACGATTGCAGTTGAGTTAGTGGCAAACCCATCAATCATATTCATGGATGAGCCAACTTCTGGACTGGATGCTAGAGCGGCTGCAATTGTGATGAGAACTGTGAGGAACACTGTCGACACTGGAAGAACGGTCGTTTGCACCATTCATCAACCCAGCATTGACATTTTTGAAGCTTTCGATGATGTAAATAGAATTTCCTAAAGTGACATTCTTTCAGATCGATTATTATTTACTACTAAAACTTAGACGACGAAAAACTGACGACGAAGACATTTTTGCAGCTCTTTCTAATGAAGAGAGGAGGACAAGAGATTTATGTTGGGCCATTGGGACGTAATTCATGCGATTTGATTAACTACTTTGAGGTGAGTTTCAAAACCTCAAAACATCATACTTCTAACCTATTATGACATTGCTAATCTAGTTTAACCCCCTCTGTGAAATATAGTCAATTCGCGGAGTTTCGAAAATCAAGGACGGGTACAATCCAGCAACATGGATGTTGGAAGTGACAACTTCAGCTCAAGAAATGTTACTAGGACTTGATTTCACTGATGAGTACAAGAAGTCAGATCTCTACAGAAGGAACAAAGCTTTGATAAGTGAATTAAGCACGCCTCGCCCCGGTTCCAAGGACTTGTACTTCGCAACTCAATACTCACAGAGTTTCTGGAGCCAATGCATGGCCTGCCTCTGGAAACAACACTGGTCTTATTGGCGTAACACATCTTACACCGCAGTTCGGTTCATCTTCACAACCATCATAGCATTGGCTTTTGGGACAATGTTTTGGGACCTCGGTACTAAAACGTAAGTTGACCTTAAATAAACCAACTATATTTTTTTAGTAAAACATTTTGGTGCTAAAAGTTTTGGTTCGCTATGTTTCAGCCGGAGGAGGCAAGATTTGTTCAATGCTATGGGGTCCATGTATGCTGCGGTTCTCTTTCTTGGCGTGCAGAACTCTTCCTCGGTGCAGCCCGTGGTCGCGGTTGAACGTACAGTGTTCTATAGGGAGAAGGCTGCGGGGATGTATTCTGCATTACCATATGCATTTGGACAAGTGAGCCTTCTTCTTCTTCTTGTTCTTCTACTACTACTTTTGCCCACCCACAACGCAAAAAATGAATTGGAAATTATATAACATTGGTTTCTTTTTCCTTACTGTTTGTGTTGTGACAGGCGGTTATTGAAATTCCATACATATTTCTTCAAGCGGCCGTGTATGGTGTGATTGTTTATGCGATGATTGGATTTGAATGGACGGCAACTAAATTCTTATGGTATTTCTTCATAATGTTCTTCACATTTTTATACTTCACATTCTACGGGATGATGTCTGTGGCTGCCACTCCCAACGAAAGCATTGCATCCATTGTGGCGGCATTCTTCTACGGTGCATGGAATCTGTTTTCTGGTTTCATCATCCCACGACCCGTAAGTTTTATTCTTTTGGGTTTTTTCCTTTTATACAACAAACCAACACATAAAAGTTAGATCTTTTAAGATTGAATTTGGAGACTAACATGTAGTGTTAATGTAATCAGAGCATGCCTGTGTGGTGGAGATGGTACTTCTGGGCTTGCCCTGTGTCATGGACATTGTACGGATTGGTGGCATCACAGTTCGGAGACATTGAGGGCGAGAAAATGATCGATACGAATCAAACCGTGAAAGAGTTCTTGGAAGATTACTTTGGGTTTAAGCACGATTTTCTTGGAGTGATCGCGGCAATGACGGTTGTGTTTCCGGTCCTTTTCGGTTTCATTTTCGCCTTTGCCATTAAAACTTTCAACTTCCAGAAAAGATAGAGAGAGAGAGGAGGAGGAGGAAGTCAGGTGCATGTTGATGATGCTCTTCAAGTGTAAACGTATGTGTACAGTATATGCTACGCTAATGGATGTTTGAGTTCTTTTTTCTTTTATTAAATAACCTATTTTTCTTTTACCATGTAGTTTTTCCTTAAATGTAATGTGAGTATTTCAGCTCCTACAACTACTTAACTATAGTGAGTTTATACGACTTGCTGTTTGGTTGTATTCAACTTGTAGTACTCCGTAATAAATTATAGTTATCCCTTTTTTGTTCTTTGTTTTTACCTTAGTATTAAAATATGGGTATGCACTAATGCAAGCACCTTTTCCAAGCCTTGCTTTTCGTGAAACATTATTGTTTGTTGTTGTACGTTTATTGTTAGGGTGACTGTGAGCTTTTCTTTATAGAGGTGGGGTTACACCAGGGTCTTACCTTTAGCTCATTCTTATTCGCTCTGGTGATAGATGTCTTGAGAAGGGGAGTTCATGGAGAAGTCCCGTGGTGCTTGCTCTTTGCAAACGATATTGTGCTTATCGACGACACTCGCGAGTAATGTCCTTTAAGCGACTGTATGACAGAATCAAGAGTAGAAGTAAGGATTGAGTTTCACCCCGTGCCCAAAGTAGACAAGTTTCGATATCTGGTCATTCAAGCGAGTGAGGAGTTGTATGGGAATGTTGCGCATCCATTCGAGCGGCTTGGCCTAAGTTGAGGTTGGCTTAGGAGTGCTTTGTGGTAAGAAGATTTCGGCTAGGATAAAAAGGATATTCTATTGGTACGTGGCTTGACCAACTATGTTGTATGGTGTGGAGTGCTAGACAATTAAGAAAACCCATGTTTGTGAACTGCATGCTATAGAGGTACGAATTTTGCGTTGGATGATTGGTCACAATACGATAAATATTATTTGAAAAGAGGTTATTTGAGGACGAAGGGCGTGACACCTGCGAAAGATAAGCTACGGAAAATTAGCTTGAGGTGGTTTGGACCATGTGAGACGTCAGTATGCTAACGGGCAAGTGCAGAAATGCGAGAGGCTTGCGACGGCAGGTGAGAGTAGGGGAAGGGGCAGACCTAGGAAGAATTGGAATGAGATTATCAGACAGAACTAATGACTTCTTGCCCGCTGATATGACCTTAAATATGACCGTTTGGAAAGTTAAGATTAAAGTAATCGGGTAAGTGTTTTAAGCTAGATGATGATTAGTGCATTCTTCATTAGGTACTTTGTATGTTTGGTGTTCTCCACTTATAGTGTTTTTCTTTGTTTATTTTAGTTTGTTCTTTACCTCTATGTTGTTTATACTCTCTCTGTCTTATGGGTGTGTTCCGTTCAACTTATTTTTTCAGCTTATTACTTACTCTTATGAAAACCAGATCAAACAAAAAATATTTTTAAATATAACTATAATCAGACCAGACTAAACCAGATAAGATTAAATTAGACCAAATCTTCAAAAAATCAGGTCAGATCTGATCAGACAAATAGAGCGTGGCCTATGTGTCTTCTTTGATATTTTATTATCTATGTTGTAAGAGTCGAGAGTCTCTTGGAAATAGGCTTTTTACTTATGAGTAGCGAAAGGTCTACATACATAAGCTCTCCCTGGACTTTACTTCGTTGGATCCAACAGGTTATTGTTGTTGTTTGTTTAAAGTGATTACCCACTTATTTACTAAATAAATTATTATAAACGAAACGGTTCCAGAGCCATTGGCTCTAGTTGACAATGCGCGCGGTGTCACTGATTTTTTGGGACACTTAAAGTATTCCATTCGCAAAAATTATGGGTTATATCCTCTAACCCTTTGGTAAACTCTAATTTTGGATAAGAAAGGATTCATCTTTGTTCGCGTTTGAAGTGATATGTTAATAATTTGGATATATAATGTTATTTTTAGTTGATCACATATAAATATCTTTTTAAGTCATTGGAAAAAATTGGAAGGAATTGGTAAAAAATTGAAAGTTAATTTTCCCAACCTAAAAAGACGTGGCCTAAAACACACAAAAAAGTAAAGTTTTTAGGTTTGGATTTGATCAATGTCAAACATCAAAAAATTTATTTCATTCCAAAAAGCATTTTGTTGAACAACAAAAAGTATCCCAAAGAGGGTTGGGCTAACAGGGCCTTTGAGTTTGAAGATTTTGCGTTTGGGCGTAGTATAAAGCCCATCTTAATGAGTTGACGAATTACAAAATTATTCACTAAAATGGCTCTCTCTCTCTCTCTCTCTTTCTCAAGGCATACGATTGTCTCAAGAGGGTGGGCTGAAAATTGGGACTCCCTCCATTCTAAAATTACCTTTGCAATACTATGCACATGGTTAAACTTTAATCACTTTTTTTATTTATTTTTGTTAGTTATTTAATAAAATAATATAGTAATATTATTTCTTGCTTTGTAGAACTTTTGGTGTAGTTTTAAAATATATTATTTTTATTTTTTTAAATTTACACTTAGAATCAAATAAATTAAATTAAAAATAATTTCTGTTAAATCACGTAAACTGAACTGGAAAGATCGTTTTAGGACAGAAAGAGTATCATTTGTAATAATAACATTGTCCTATCAATTAAGGGACTCCCTCATCCCAAAATAATTAGGCTCTTTAGTATTTTGGATTGTCGATTACTTTTGTTTGAGTATGCATTTCCATTGAACATTTTTTATAAAATACAATACTTATGCCTAGTTTTATTAAAATTTTGATACTCCCTTCATCCCTAAATATTTGCCACACTTGTATTTCCGAGGCAAAATATCAAGTTTTTTCAATTCATTTTATTTACATATTGGTATAGAAATAAAAAATAAAATTTACATATCAAAAAACTATATGAAGAGTGTTTTTGAAATAAGAGGTGTCGTGAATATTTTATTTTATCAAATAATTAATGAAGACGTAGAAATAAACAAAAGATCCCGCGACTGCTGAAAAAGAAAACGTTGCAAATAATTTGTGAGAGAGGGAGTATAATTTTTAAATTTGTAAGTTATTTTTTTTATTTTGATACTAATCTATAAGTAAATGATTTTAGAAAGATATTACTTTGCACATTATTTAAAATATGACAATTTTCTAGGGACATAGGAAGTACAAACACAAATGCTATGAAGTCACTCTTGGTAAAGAACCTAGGCCCAAGCAATGGGCCTAAAACCCAGAAACAATGTTAAAAGAGCTCAAAGTTCAAAGTACATGACAATAATTGTGCAACATATCCAAAAAGATATGACTGGCATTGCTGCTCTGCTTCCATGAGTTGCTCTAAAGGGTGAGATGCAAAAAAACAGTGATGAGGACTTTGAGGATGGGAAAATTTTTTGTTTTTTTTTATTCAAAAAACAAAAAAAAATGAAAATAAAAGGTCAAAATCTTTCTTTTATCTACCACTTTCTTTCCCCTTTACTTCCCACCATTTTTCTCCATCCCCACCCCTACCCCCACCCCACCCCACCTCTATTATCTTCACAATTTTCTACCATTGTGTCTTTGTGTATATATAAACTATTGGTCACAAGGCCTTTAAAGTCTACCCTTTTTTTCTTCCAGTTTTAAAAACTGTGTGCACTGTGTAGTTGCCAAAGAACTGAACTTTCTTTGTCTTCTTTAGTTGATTCTTGATTTTTTGATTAACCACCATTCATAAACTTCAATTCCCAATCATGGATGAGCAGAACATGTTTCCCAATGATGGAATCACAATGCCATACGGAATTGGAATTCAGGGCAGCGACTTGTTCGGTTCAAGCTGGCAGAATCCGGCGGATCCGAATGACCCGTTCCGGTCGGCGTTGAGCTCCATGGTCTCGTCTCCGGCGGCGTCCAACGCCGGCGGAGGAGGAGGTAACAGTTCCGTCAGGGATCAGGTGTTTGTGCTCAGGGAGCTGATTGGCAGGCTGGGAAGCTACGACAACTCCTCCGGCGAGATTTCACCGGTTGGTTGCGCTCCCACCGCCGGCTATCGTTCCCCTCCCAAGCTGAATCTCTCGTCAATTGCGGATCATCAGATCAGGGCCACCGCTTTCCCCATTCAACCCGAAATCTCGCAGCACTTCTCCTCGGATCCGGGTTTTGCTGGGACAGTTTCTTGTTTTTCCGGCAAGGGTTTGATGGATTCCGGCAAGCAGCCGGTCAAGAAGCCCACTCCAGAAAGCTCAGAATTGGGTAATTCCAGGGAGAACTCCACAGTCTCGGAGCAGATTCCGTCTGGGGAAATCTGCAAAAATGACACAAATCCAAGAAAGAGGAAAGCTGCTGCAAAGGGGAAAGCCAAAGAAACAAGAACACCATCTCCCAATGTAATGCTATCTTCTTTCTTGAATTCCATATCTTCTTTTTCTTTAAATTTTTGTGGAAATTGAGGAGAGTTGAACTGGATTTGAGCAGGCGGCAGCATCGGAGAACAAAGAAACCTTAAATAATCCCAAAAGAGCAAAACCAGATGAGCAAAAACTGGGAAAAGATAAGGCTAATAATCATCCAAAGGCTGCAGAACCTTTGAAAGACTATATTCATGTGAGAGCCAGAAGGGGTCAAGCAACTGATGCCCATAGCCTTGCAGAGAGAGTCAGAAGAGAAAAGATCAGTGAAAGAATGAAGCTTTTGCAAGATCTTGTCCCAGGCTGCAATAAGGTGCAATAAGAATGAAGCTTTTGCAAGATTGATTTTTCCTTAAATACAGAAAGAAAGAAAAAACAAACTTGTGCAGAACTATAACAAAAGTTTTTCTTGGTTGATAGGTGACTGGAAAAGCTGTCATGTTAGATGAAATCATAAACTATGTGCAATCCTTGCAACGGCAAGTTGAGGTAAAAAAACAAAAACAATCACCCCTTCCTGCATTTTACTGCTATATATCATCATGTTCTTCAAGTATATTTTTTACCCATGTGGAATGACTTTTAACTTTGTGTATCTATCTTTTGGTTGTAGTTCCTATCAATGAAGCTAGCCACAGTAAATCCAAGAATGGAGTTCAACATGGAAGCTCTTCTCCCCAAGGATGTAAGTAACAGTCACCCACAATCACTCCTACTCTAATTGGAAATCTTTGTGTGCTAAAGAAACTAACTTTATGTGTGAAAATCGCGACGACAATCTCAGTTGTACCAATATCCCGGAGCAATGGCACACGACATTTTTCCATCAGTAGATGCCACCGGATCGCCAATCCCGTTCTCTTTTCAACCTCAGCATTCGCTCCTTCATAAACGACTAGACGCCCCTTTCCCCATTAACAACAGCAGTAGAGACCAACTCCATCCTTCTATGGACACATTTCTTGATCCTTCTTCTCAGGTAACTGAACTTGCCATACTTTTGTTGCCCAATAGCCAGTTCCTATGGAGTATTTACTTTGTTACCCATGTATAATAATGCTGAAACTATGAATTTCCAGGTGCCAGCATTCTTTGAGGATGATCTAAGCAGTGTTGTCCAGATGGGTTTTGGCCAAAACCAGACACTTAATTTTCATGGTTTGAATTTCTTCATTAAAAACAAAAAAAAAAGAGAGAAATTAATTACTGGGTTTATTTGTTCATTTAAATTTTTTGTACTCCAATCAGTCAATCTTATTTTGTAATGGTGATGAATAAATGCAGGATCTTTGGGTACTTGTGAAATGAAAGCTGAGCTATGAGATAAAGAGGCACCATTTAATAAGCCCCAAGTAGGAGAGGCTTTTGTATATGTACAGAAGACATGTCAGTTTCAACAGGGAAAAATCTGGATTCAAGAAGAAAAAAGTTCACATCTTTTTTTGATTTACAGCCATTCTTGTTCCACAATTAATTTACTACTGTAGTACCCAATTAGACAGCTGGTTATGGTTTTATTCTTACTTACCTTTTTTTTCTCTTCTACATAAAAAAGTTGGAGAAGATATAAAGATCATATATTGTTGTGACTTGTGATAATTCCAGAGTCACATGTAACATATTGTAGGTATATGACAAGATTGTGTGTCCAATGGGTTGATGATAATGGAAGAATGTATGTAACTCATTAATTTTCACACCTCGTTTGGTTTATTTATTTGTTTTTCTTCTCTTCAAAGTTATTTTTTTTCAAATCTCTTTGAGTTTCTTTGAAGAACAAATAATTTACAGGGACAAATCTATTTTAATTGAGGAACCAACTCCAAATATATGTTTGAGTTTCTGATTGAGTTAGTTTTTTAACATGTAATCAAAATATTGTGGGAGTATCTGTACTACTCAGTATGTATCTAGATGTAAGACGTCTCGTATATTTGCATGAATACTCATTCTCGAGTTATTAAATATTTATTTTTGAATATGTTGTAAAATACTCATTTTCTAATAACTAAATATTCATTTTCGAGTTTTACTAAATTTTTTAAAAATAAGTATTTCAGTTGTTTGAAAATGAGTATTCAGGTACTCAAAAGTGAATGTTCAGCTACTTGTAAATGAGTACTCTCCCCAATGTACGGTATATATTGTGCATTGTTGGTCATCACTACCATCTTATTTTAAAAATTAATGTTTACGTGAAAGAGCATGTTGGAAAATACTCCGTATAAAAAAAATCTTTGAGTTTAGATTCACAAATTTAAATTTAGATTCAACAATTTAAAAACAATTAAAAAACACAGGAGCATTTTTCATGTGGTATGCTAGAGAGTGATCTGACCAATTTGTGTAGGTATGGAACATAAATATTTGGAGAGGTCAGCATCAACTAAATTTTCTAGTAGTTGGGGGGCCGCCAATGCAAATATATAAACCCTCAATTTTTTCTGATTTATTTAGTTGTTTATTTTCCAGATTTATCAATTTTTAAACATGAACCTCACAAAAAAAAAAGAAAATTGAAATTTAAGTATGTAAATGAATGGCAACAATGCTAATTTAACATTTAAGAAAGATATTTCGATCGTTCACAGAAATTTGTCTCATTCTGAAAAACCAAAATACGAAAAGCCGACATACATAATATTACTCGGTATATTCCCAACAGCTAGACTTTTTAGAGTTTTCTTAGAGAAAAAAACTATGGGCTTGTTTGGGAATAACATTAGAGATTAGCGTTAGCGTATTGGATAAAATTTTAACGATGCAGATTACTTTTAAAACGCTAACGTTAAACGCTGCCCGTAGATAGCTTTTTCAAAACGCTAACGCTATTCCCAAACACGCTCTACAATTTCAATGTGCGAAATTTTGAGAAACAAAAAAAATTGTGAACAACATATTTTAAAAGGAGATTGGAGGGAGGAGTAATTAAATTAAACTTTGTGTTTTAAAAAAAACATTAAACTTTTAGAGGATTAGATGGATGAGTAATATGTTTGTAAACAGCTGTTTGTGGGGACGAATCAAAGCTCTCTCCTTAAGTTGCAAGTCCAGTTGTTGCTTCATTTATTCAAAGCAAACTTAAAAGGATAGTTATATCATGATGATGATGATAACAATAACAATAACAATAATTATTATTATTATTATAAATTTTCAAAATAATAATAATAATAATAATCCGTAAAATAATAATAACAATAATAATAATAATAATAATAATAATAATAATAATAATAATAATAATAATAATAATGATGATAATTGATGAAATATTGGAATAATAATATTGCTCTTTGAATTATGAAGTACATGATAGAGTATATATAGGAGAGACTCCTAACACAACTAGGAATAGAGAATGGAAACTAACTAACATACAACATCTACCACAAATAGGATTAGGAAACTGACTAATAATGAAACAGTACCATAACCAATACTACAAGAAGTACTATTAGTATTATTGTCTAACATCCCCCCTCAAGCTGAACTCTGGCTGAAGCAAGAGGAAGCTTGGACACTAGCTGGAAACTGGAAACTTTGAGAAGAGAGAAATCTGACATGCGCCGGTGGCTGCTCACGTCGTTGGAGAAGAGAGAAGTGTGACGCGCGCCGGTGGCTGCTGACGTTGTTGGAGAAGAGAGAAGTCTGACGCGCGCCGGTGGCTGCTGAGGTCGTTGGAGAAGAGAGAAGACTGACGTGCACTGGTAGCTGCTAACGTCGTTGGAGAAGAGAGAAATTGACGTGCGCTAGTAGCTGCTGACGTCGATGAAGAAGAGAGAAAGTTGACGTGCGCTTGTACCTGCTGACGTCGAAGAATAATAGAGAAGGCTACTGGAAGTGCATGTTTGACTAAAGATTCTTGACATTTTTTGTATTTTTCTTGGATCCGGGCAATGCCCTATTTCCTTCTTGAATGGGTGAGTTGTAGAGGTCTTATTTCCTCTTTCACTACTTCCCCTTTTGGCTTTGCTTTTGTGCTGATTTACTTTGGATTTTTATTGGTTCAATAGGAGAGAAAGAGAAGGGAGGTTGATGATTAGAATGAGTGATTCTAGATAGAAAAAATAGGTTAAGAATTGGTGATGGAAAAAAAAATTGGGTCTGAGATTTTGATATGGTGAATTGGAGAGAAACAACAATCATTTTTTTCCTTTTTGAGAAGATAGGATGAGTTGAGAGAGTTTGTGAGGAGTTGAGGTTTTTTTGAAGAACCATGTGGATGACAAGAGAGAAGTTCCTCTTTTGATGGTATTTTTTTTGTGTGATTTCAACAGGGTTTTTTTTTCTTTTTTTTCATTTGAATGGAGAAGTTGATTTGAGGATAAAGAAGAAAAAGAAAATAGAGGTGAATAGGGTGGGAGCAAAAAACTTTTTTTTTAGGTCACCAAGAGCGGTGGATCTGATACCATGATGAAATATTGGAATAATAATATTGCTCTTTGAATTATGAAGTACATGATAGAGTATATATAGGAGAGACTCCTAACACAACTAGGAATAGAGAATGGAAACTAACTAACATACAACATCTACCACAAATAGGATTAGGAAACTGACTAATAATGAAACACTACCATAACCAATACTACAAGAAGTACTATTAGTATTATTGTCTAACAATAATAATAATAATAATAATAATAATAATAATAATAATAATAATAATATGTTCGAATCACCATCCAGCAGCTGGAATCCAATGTCCATCCATCATCACCATCATCTTCAAATTTAATCCATAACTCACTTAAATTAGCTACCTCATGTCAATACACAATATTCACACATACTCCATATTTATATAAAATGATTGGCACGCTTTGACCCAAATCCCCTCCAATTTGTTGTTCAATACCACCCAAAATGTTTCTCTATGAATTTTGTTGGAGGATATAAAGATCTAACCCTCTTTATATAGGAAGATTGTAAAGCAAATAAATGGATTTCTAATAATTTTGTTCCTATTAAAACAAGAATTATATCAAAATAAAATAGGAAAACTACCAAACCGAACCCCATCTGGATTCGGTCCCTTCGTGCGCCTCTTTCTCTCGTAACACTCCCTCAAGCTAGAGCATGGAGATTACGCGTGCCCAGATTGGGCAACACATAACTAAATGATCTTTGTTCAAGTGTCATCTCAACACTTCAACATATAATTTTTCTTCTTCGTTGACGGAGACGCCACTCTTTTTTAATCCGCTGAATAACCAATCGGGTAAAGGAACGCCAATCTTTTCGAACCTCCGCTGAATTCAAACGATTAGGACGAACACCGTTCTTTTCGAACATCATGAATGCTATTTTTTTAATTTTGCCTTAAAGAAATTGTCCTCATTCTGTAGAACAACCCTTGTTGAACGATTTCTTCATGAGTCATATTCTTCCTTGAGAAGAGCATCCATCTAATAATGACGGGAGTGATTTGCGACCAAAGCTAAGAGACTCTGACAATTGGTGCGACACTTTCCACAAACCAATATGGATTTGTTTTTGCGACAAGATAATGAGCAGAAAGAGTATGGAATGGTAGTGAGTCATGTAGTTCAGTATGGGTAGGTTTGAAGTGTTGTCGGTTTGGTGGTGGTAAGGAATTTGGATCGGTGAAAGAGTAATGGTCCGGCGAGCGGCTAATGGAGCAATGACACAAAATTTTAGGCCACCAAGAACTTGACTTCGATGTCATGTAAAGGAACCAACTCAACCAAAAGCTCAAGCTTATGCTTGTGGCCAAAGAAAGATTTTTTATATTTTAACATGCCTCCTCACGTTTCGAGTCTTGCTTGCACATGAAATTTTAATTTTTTAAAACTAGGTAGCGCTAAGTTTCGACTTGTGACATCTTAGTCAAGAAAGCTCTGATATCATGTCAAGCAACCAACTCAACCAAAAGCTCAAGCTTATGGTTGCAGCCTGAAAAGGTTATTTATATTCTAACACGCCCATCTACCAAACCGAATCCTTTCAGGATTTGGTCCCTTCGTGCGCCTGTTTCTCTGGTAACACATCCCAACAAACCTCCCCTCAAACTAATGACCACACAACTCCTGACATCCCCTTAGCAATTATCCACCTGATTTACATATCATCTTGCATTATTGGTTCAATCTCACGGGCACGCCACCCGACCTCCTCTTTGTCGCGAAGACTTTTGACACAAGGTATACTACAGACCACCAATCCGCCTAGGTCACAACGTTTGATCTGACAAATTAGTCCATCTTGTACTGCCGCTAACACCAAACTTGGACACGCTATTAACACAAGGTACCACTTATAGACATTCAGTCATGTTGTGGCACGGGTGTTTGAATATAAAAACCTTCCTTTGCCACAACCTCAAACTTAAGCTTTTGGTTGAGTTGGTTTCTTAATATGATGTCGGACCTTTTTCATTAAGGTCATGTTCTCTTCAACCTATTATAATTACTGATTACTTTTTCTTATCGGAACCAGATCAGATCAAAAACAGCTTTATATATAACTACATTCAGATTAGGCTAGATCAGATTAGAACTTATTCTAATCAAATCAGAATCATTCGGATCAGGTGAAGAAAACATGGCTTAAGAGTCACATGTTCAAAACTCAGTACCACCATTTCATAATTAAAAAAACATTCACGTGTTAGGCTCGAAAATGATGATTTTATTTCGTATACACTTCTGTTCCCAATGAATTTAATCAAATTGAAGCTTGCACGAGTATGAAAATAATAAATTGTTCATATTTTTTATTTAGTATTTTTTTAATGTATCAAAGAAAAGTAAATAATGAGTACAAGTAAAATCTT